TATATATATATATATATATATATATATATATATATATATATATATATATATATATATATATATATATATATATATATTTGGGTAAATAGCATTTGAGCCCCTGCGGCTACAAGTTTTTGCAGATGATTCCCTTGTGCTCGTGATATCCGCACGTAACCCCGACCCCTTGTGGTTGATATATAAGGGTAGTTTCCGTTAGTTTTTTTGGCCAGTAGCATTAACTGCACGTGTCAAACTACAAAATACTATATTTTGCAGATGACCCCTTGAAGTTTGAAATCACGATCGAATCGAAATCCATTCTATTTCTATATAAATCGAGTGACTTCAAATTCCTACTCAAATTCTTTATTTTGTCAAAAATAGCATAACATAAAAACTAAAAATTCTTTCAAGATTCAAAACCTACTGTCTTTCTCAAGAAATTTCAAACCTCCACTTTTATGTAGTCCATTTTTTTCAGTTTAAATACACTAAGCAGTCTAGCACTTCTAGATTGATTTAGGGTTTTGTTTCCTTTTAACACGAGTGAAAATAATGGGCTATATAGATCTCTATAAATTAATATAGTTGTAACTAAATAAAATTCTATTAGTTTAGAGAAATATTAATTAAATTATCGAGCTTATAATTTAGTAAGTTTTTTATCAAGTCGTGGCCGAAAGAAATTATTATTTAGGCGAGGTTATTACTCTATCGGGTATTAATTTATCGAGGTTCGACTGTAATTGTAATTATAAATAAGAAAAAAAATGCCTTTTTAGATGCAACATGAGTGTAATACATAAAATACATTGAGTAATATATTATCATAAATTTACACATAATCACCCTACACCTATGAATTTATCCGACCAACTTCTTTCAGACTAACAACATATAATAAATCCATGATTATTTTGTCCAAGACTATAACATTATATTTTACACATTTAAAAAAAATATAAGATAAAATAAATAATAAATTTAATTTTAATTTACCAAACAAGTCAAAGTCATCACTTATAAGTTATATCCCTTTTCGTACCAAAAAAGTGCTATTGATGATAATTGTGAATTTCATGAGTACTTTGACAAATTTATCATCCCATTTTTTAGGGTGTTCATTCACATTGGGAAAAAGGAAAAGCCAAATATATTGGATCGATTAAATTTGAGTACTTGAAATTAAAAGGAAAATGAACTATAGAAAATCATATCTGCGTGGATGTTATACTTGGAGAATCGGGTGATCCTGCACCACTGATCTATAGTACAAAACAACTCGGTGTTTTTCACTGTAGCATCTGATCTCATAGACCCAAATTATTGTTCTCGAGAAATATAATTAATGTAAAAATCTTCTTAAAAGTCTCGACCTCAAATTTGTTCCGAAAGCAAGGGGATACTAACTAACTGCCGAGTCCTTTCGAAGCAATTGCCTTGTTCGAATTGATGAGTGCATTTTTTTTTTTATCTCATTTGTATTCTGATCGAATTTCGAGAGATTTATGTCCAGTTTACACGTCGTAGTTTACCCAACTCTTTCTCTTCACCCAACTCTTCGTGGATACCTAATCTCATTTATTCGGAAAGAGAGGAAACGAAACCTTAGGTGTATGCCGATGTGTGCATATATACGTTGAGTGTGTGTCGTAAGATCATTTATTATAAGCTCAAATTTTCTACCAGTTTTTTCGCGAAATTTTAAAATGTACGAATAAAATTATTTAAAAATTGTATATTCATATGTATATTAATGAGTAGGATTCAAAACATTAATAAGAACAATAAGCTCCATGTAGTATTGGGCCAGTCAATTCGGGCCTTGGGCTTGTTAAATGGGCTTTTAAAATTAAACTATAGGATAAATAGAATTTACCCCCTGTGGTTTTTGAATTTTGTACACATGACCCCCTGTACTTTCAATATAGCACATTACTCCCTTATATTTTAGTATTATTACATAAGTGATAAGCCCCTTGTACTTTAATAATTCAATCTTTCTAACGAATATAATTATTTACCAAGTGAATACTGTAGGCGGGTATGTGGTTATATTAAAAGTACAAGGGTGTTATGTGCACAAAGTTCAAATTATATGAAGTAATATGTTTATATTGAAATTACAAGAGAGTTATGTGCGCAAAATACGGATCACAGGGGTTAAAGTGTTATTTACCATATAATAAATACGGCAATGATTGGGAGATGTATTAAAACGATTTTTATTTTTTGTTATTATTATTTTTCAGAAAAGTATTTAAAAGGAATTACTAAAAGAAGCAAAAGATAGTCTATTTTCTTGTCTTCTCTTTGGTGAAAAGTCATATCTGCCCTTCTGACTGACTAAAGAGGGCCATAGATTAAAGCAACTTTATCACAGATATTCCATGAATTAAATTCTGTATAATCCTATTGTCCAATTAGGGTGATCCACGTTGGTTTATTATATTTCACAGTCTCCTTTTCTTAGATTTGATTAGTTTCGATTTTTGATAATCAAAAGTAATATTTTTTGTGTCATTATAAATAAGTTGTGTAAATCTATTTTCCTTTGCAATAGCTTGTAATCTATACGAGAATCGTAATTTGTGTATTGTACTGATGTAAAGAAAAAAAAATAGGACTTTTTTTTTATTCAACGAAAAACACAAAAAGTGATACAAGGATTACGGTTAACTCTACACATAAGAGGACGATAAATAACAGTGTTTTAAATATCAGTCATGGCAGCCACATAAGTTGTCTGGGACGTTGTAGTCGTAAATCTTTACGATTTTGGTGAGCCAGTTTGGAAAATCACTTTTTTTTAACGATGATGCGGATTGAGGCATGTCAAACCGATATACGGGGTCAAACTTCGATGAATAAATTGGAAAAAATATCCGTTTTTAATTTATCTATTTTAACCAATTTAAGGGTTTTTCCTTTTTTTGCCCTTTTCGAACCAAATTACCAACAGGCCATCGTAAAAAAAGAAGAGAATCTCCGGTTTTGTTTCTTTTATTTTGTATTTGTAAGAATTTTTATTGCGTTATGATCTTGTTATTATTAAGTTTATTTTTTATTTTTCATGTGATTAAGATATATAAATGATGCAAATAAAATCATGTTTTGAGTATTTATAAACAATATTTAAATATATATTACACTAAATCCAGAAAAAACTTTACTTATATCTTTGATTAATCACTACCCTGCCGATTTATCGGTGACGGTCCCTAACCGCCTCCGACCTGATATTCGCTTTTAAAAACCTTGATAAATAGATAAACTAAAGAAAGTAAGAAAAGTAGTAAAAGACCAATATGCCATTTTATCTAGTAATAAAAGACCAAAAAATGTTTGGATTAGGTTAAAACATAAATAGGAATAAAAAATAATTAAGTTGAATAAAATTAAAATTGAAAAATGAAACTCCTTCCTAATCAATTACACTGCCTAGTAACCTACCTCACCAAACCATGGGCCCTTGAAAAGGAATGTACACTAACGAACCGGTGCCTATTACCCTAAACCCGGTTCACTCTATCCGGATCAGTAAACTCCAATCCTACTCTAGTGGTGGCAGACCGGCGGTTCAGTTCTCGAGTTCCTTTTTCCGTCGCATTTCCAGAACTTTCCGGTGGCTGTTAGAGTGCAAATCGGTGGAGAAAGTTGGGCTGCAGGCGGGTCGGTATTCGGGTAGGAGCCGACCCGATTTGAACCTCACTCCACAAGCATTGCACAGTGTCTTCCGGCCGAGCGGCCCGGCCCGCCACTGTGGGGTTTTTGTGACGCCACAATGGCTGCACCTCCTCGGCTGCTGCTGCCCGGCCCCACCACCGCCGCTGACGTCAGCCGGTTTGCTTTTCCGCTTCTTGGCTGCCGGCGGCTTTCGAAGAGAAGAGTCGCCGGTTTCGGTCTGGATAAAGTAGAGTGCGGGCGGCGAAAATGACGTCGATGAGGATGACGACGACGAGGAGGCGGCGGAGGTTTCGGCGAAGGACGACGGCGACAAAACCGGCCAGACGCGCACGCCGGTCCGGGCTCTCTTTGTTCTAGCCTTGGTTTGGACCGGAGTCGTGAAACACGGCTGCTCCTTCGCCGCCGCCGCCTGCGGCGGTTCTGACCTCGCCGCCGTAGGGTTGTGTGGGAATTTTCCGGTCAGCGGGTAATCGGAGAATGATTCCTCCACGAAATGTGACAGCCATTCCAAGCTTTCCAAACCCTCCGCCGCCTGTGAAAATTCCCATCTTTTTTCAGTTTATTAATTTCTATATAAATAAATTAAAAAAAAAAAAACTGTCTTTTTTTTTCAGTTTCACAAACAAAAGAAATTGAAACATGGGTTTCAATTACCTGAACGCTGAGTTCCGGCGAGAGAGCCCCATTCTCAGGCGGCGGCGGCGGCGGCGCCGCCGCCTCTTGTTTTACAGGCAAAAAAGGGCAAATTTTTCTCCCGTCCATTTCATTTTCCGGCAGTTCCACCGGCTGCTCTTCAGTTTCAGAGTAACCATTAGAAAAATCCAGAAGCTCGTCAACAAAGAAGTCATCTCCGGCGGCGCCGCCGTCGTCCATATTAAGAACCACCGCCTTCCCCGGCGTCTTCGGCCCAAAACCCCCCTCCACAAACTCCATTCCCTAAAAATTACAGAAACCCACATGCAAAAACCCAAGCAATTCATAAATACAATTACGCAAACCCCATAATCAAATATAATCCGGCAGATAAATAATAAATAAACAATTAAAAAAAAAACCTGAAGCCGACGTGGCGAAGAACAGGAAATAAGATGAGGCGATAACGGAGATGAAGAGAGAGAAAAAGGGTGGTGGAGAATTCGGTGCAGCATTGAATTAGAGAGAGATTGTAGAGAGAGAAAGTGAGAGTGCAGAGAGGATGGGGAAGAGGATTACAGTATCTCACAGTCACCTCATATATACAGAGTAGCAATATTAAAAAAACAGAAACGGAAATTAAATGTTATTTCAAAAAGTTACAAAAAAGCAAATCAAGGAAAAAAAGTGCTTATTTCTATTTCAAATATTTGGTGCTATATTTGATGCATCTCTCTCTTCCCTTTACTTTTATTTTCTTTTTTATTTTACAAACAATTATACATAATTTCATATGAATATATGAAATAGATTAATTTTACCTCTAATTATGTATATTTGTATCAAATTTATCGCAGCTGTCGGGTAAATCTGCACTTTCGTAATTTTTATGTTATATAACGCTTTGCTTAAAAGGAATGTGATTTGCGTTTGAGATTATCGAGACGACCGACATAATTATTTTAGAAATTGTCTCTCGATTTTTATATTTATTTTTTGTAATCAAGTTATCCATAATTAAATTATGTCCTTTTGACATTATGTTAATCACATGCTATTATGTGTAGGAAAATCTTAATGCAAATGGATATAAGGAAGGTTATTAAGGTGGGGATTATGAAGTTGCTAATTTCATTTAAATCAATATCTAAGAGTTATATATATATATAAAATATAGATTGGAGCAAATTTTTACTCATGTACAGTAGTTTGCAAATCAGACGAAATATTTAAATCGAATTAGGTATAAGTCATGTGTGATCTTATATTATGTTAGTGATTTTTTTTTAAGATAACATTTCTGTATAATTTTACAATATAAATGTTCGATTTTTTTCCCAATTAAATAATGATAAAGGGTAAGTGTTTGAATTTCTCTTTGTAGGTAATTTTAAATGCTCGTTGTCTAAATTATGTCTTATTCTTGTCACTTAAATTCGAGCGCACCTCACTGACCGTGTTGATTAGTTTTTACTTTATTCTTTCTCCATACCGTTCGGTCTTAAAGAATAACTATAAATATATAATGAGATTCGGACGAAAATGCCACATTTAATTATATGCGCAGGTGACATTTGAAGAAAAAAAAAATCCTTACCAATTCATTAATTAGTTATTATTTCATATTTTTTTGTATTTTTCATATTTTATAAAATATTTAATTGACTTGATCGCACGTCGGAGGCTTTATCCCGAGAAATCACCATCCCGATACCTTGCAAATATAAATATATATCGTTCGCATTGTAGTTGGACTTCTTTTTTTTTCGACAGAAATTAGAAGGTGGATCATTTTACGTACGATTACATCATAAACTTTGACTACATAAACTTTATCATAATTTTGATATTGCCTAACCATGGCAAAATTCACATTTGATTGCGACAATTTAATAATTTATATTTAGTTGAGGTGTTAACTTTTTTACTTACTAATTAATTATTTAATTTGTGAAATTTTCAATAATTGTATTAAATAGATTCAAAAGGGCTTTTAAGTTTTAATTTAGGCCCATTCTTGTACATTTTCCCGCCATTGCTTTTCTAACTTGGCCTCCAAAATCCTCGAGATTTCCAAAAAAATTAAATAATAATAATAATAGAAAGCAGCAATTAATTTTGTTACCCCTTTTTTCTAATTTTTGGCAAATTAAATAATCAAAGCAGATTATCACTGCAAAGAATGAGACAGCTAGAAAGTTGCCAAATTAACTTTCACTATGACCCTTAATAATAATTATAGCTAGGGATGAAAAAAAAATCGAAAAATCAAACTTAAAATCGATCTTTCCTTCTAATTCGTTTTTTTTTTCTATCCGTTTTTGCCTTTCGTGAAAGGGTCGCTTCCGCCGAGAGGGGCAAAGGATAGGCGAGCAACAGCCAAAAGGGTATAATTGGAAATAAATACATTAGAGGAGTGCGGTGAGAAATTTGGTAAAGTCCAAATAGACGTTCTCGTAATCGAATTTTACACGAATTAACATATAAAATATATCTTAATTATAGCTGCAAAAGTACAACAAAAAGTTATTGCTTATTTTGCATGCAAAGGTTTACATTTTTTCACTATCACGCAAAGAGGTTCAAGATCGAGAAAATATATTGGTGCGGTTGAAAAGTAAAAACTACAATCTCGAGGTTCAAACCTGCAATTTCACACAATTCAAATGTTTGTATTTATTTGTAGGCCAAATTCGATGAATGGTCCCTCATCTTGACAGTTATTCCAACTTTAGTCCCGTGTCTCAAATTTTTCATTTTTATTCTTCATCTTCATAATCCATCTCATTATCATCCCTCGTTATATTAATTTGTTAACTTTAACGGAATGTTTTCAACAACAACTGAAATATTCCATTGTTATAGGATTATTGTTGATAAATATTGTGAATTTCTTCAAATAATAATAACTTTATAATTTCAAAATAATATTTGCAACTAAGAAAAACATAACTTCATAACTACTATTTTTACGAAATATTAAATTATATTAAATAAAAAGAATAACTTATTTTGTAGACACGACTTGAATTTAGAAACATATTTAAATAATTATAATATGTTATCTACATATACTCTCTCTATAAAAAATTTTATAACTCTTATGATCTTATTTTAATATTTAATTAAAGAAGTAATTCAACTATATATGCTTTTCTAGTATTTACTAATTTGTTTATAATTTATTCAAATAGTTACAAGAATAGAATATAATATTCCATCCAATATATATATATATATATATATATATATATATATATATATATATATATATATATATATATAGACATAGACATGATGGCATGATTAAATTGTACAAATTGGGGCAACCATAGCATGTGAGAATATTATTTTCCCAGAATTATATGCCTCAAAGTTTTTGAATTAAAAATTTGAAGTCGGAGTGGGTGAGCACATGTAATAATTGGACCAAATAAACTGCCAAATAAAATAGAGGTGTTGCTTGATTGGTAAAAAAACTCATCATCAGTTAAATAGTTAAATCTTATTTAATATTGTTTTTTGGGACAATCAGCAATTATAAAATGAATTAATTCGTATCTTGACTTATTGAGAGATTGTGTATTGGACCTCTCCATACGATTGAGTTCTTGTAAACGAGATAAGACAGAGCATATAAAAGTTGTACGAGGGTCGTGGGTTTTAGGGCGATTTCGATGCTGGGATCGGATATATTTAATTATCTCGAGAAAACCTCATAAGAAATATAGAGATCTAGTTAATCACAAGCATACAAGAAATAGAGCTTATGTACGCAAGGGTTGGACTAATCGATTTCATATTCTCGATCTCCTAACACATAAATTAGCGCACAACAAAAAAATTATATCACATTTCTAGTTGGTATCTTCTTTATTTATCTCGAAATTACTGGCTAACTTGATGGATAGAGTGCTTAATTAGTGAGGAAAACCCTTACAACCCATTTTTCAGCTTATTTGATGAACATTTCTAGCTACTCAATTTTGGAGTTGTGTGCAATATTTGATGACTTGATAATTTGAACAACATGACATACACTATGTATATATACTGTGTTTGTGCCATTACGTATTTACATTACAACTTTGCCTTGTTTTTTTTCTTATGTGCAATGTAGTTAACACATTTCAATAATAACGTTGGGTGTTTGGTCTAGTGGTATGATTCTCGCTTCGGGTGCGAGAGGTCGTGAGTTCGATTCTCGCAACACCCCATTTCTTTTTCTCTATTTCTTTTTTTTTTTTGTTTTAAACAAATTAGCAGAAAAAACCAAAAAAAAAAAAACAAATTGCACCAGCCGGGAATCGAACCCGGGTCTGTACCGTGGCAGGGTACTATTCTACCACTAGACCACTGGTGCTTGATGAATGCAGAATTCACCCTCTTAATTTATAGAGACATTCATTAAAATAAAATGCAGGAAAAAGAGAAGACAAACTGCACCAGCCGGGAATCAAACCCGGGTCTGTACCGTGGCAGGGTACTATTCTACCACTAGACCACTGGTGCTTGATGAAAGCAGAATTCACCCTCTTAATTTATAGAGACATTCATTAAAATAAAATGCAGGAAAAAGAGAAGACAAACTGCACCAGCCGGGAATCGAACCCGGGTCTGTACCGTGGCAGGGTACTATTCTACCACTAGACCACTGGTGCCCGATGCAGATCAAATGTACTGTGTTTATATTTCACAAACTGCATTCTTGCTAATTGACACGAAGTTATATGCCACACCGGGCATTTGACAACCGTAGATGATGTTTAACAACCACCCACTAAAGCAAACATATACAAGCAATTTGTGTTTGATTATGCGCAGATCTACAGTTAACAATCACCGAGTGCAGCATTATGGAGACTTGGGGAAACCATGCTATTTTTTTATAATTATACTAAATTTGAGCTTTCTCAGACGAAAATGCACTTGATGAAATGCCTCTAAATAACTGCTTAATAATGGCTCTTCAATCCAGTACCAAATACCTAATGTGCGAAACTTGAGACTTATTCATATATTATAACTATATAAGTGAAGTAGCAATATTTTCACTCATGGCAGTTTAACTATGATTCTTGATCTTCTTGTATTACTGTGGAACATCGTTGCATTTGCATTATCGAACAACACGAAGAAAGGAACCAAAAGAAGTTGGTAACAAAAGAAACTTCCAATCTCCTTTCCCTATCATCAATGCTTGCATGGAGGAAGTGGATCTCCACACAATCCAGCATTCCCAGCAAACGCCTTCACCGGAATAACCCGTTTGTGTACCGGAATCTTCCCGCTCAACCGATTATCAGAAACATCGAAATTCTCAAGATATTCAAGATTCAACACTTCTTTAGGAATCCCTCCACTCAAACTGTTTTCAGACAGCAACAAGGTTTTCAATGCCTTAGCATTGCCAAGCTCCATCGGTATCTCCCCCGAAATCCCGTTTCCGACTAATTCCACCACCTCCAAATAACTCAATTTCCCTAAAGACTTCGGTACAGAACCCGTCAACGGATTGTGTGACAGAATCAGAGATTGAAGAAATTCCATGACAGGTTCATCTCCAATTCCCTCATCAACATGTCCACCGAAAAGATTGTACGAAAGATCGATGTTGCTGTAATGACCACGTGCGAACTCGCAGCTCTTCGTGTATATCGGTTTCAAGCTTCCATAAAGCCTGTTTGAATGAAGATCAACATCCGTCAACAGCACAAGATTCTTGAATTCAACAGGGATCGGAGAACTAAATCCGTTGTTCGACAGATTCAGCGATGAAAGATTCGTCATATTCCCAATCCAAGATGGAATATTCCCTTTAAGCGAATTGCTCGATAAGTCAAGAGTTGATACAGACGAAGAAGCCAGCCAATCGGGCATCTCCCCTTCAAGCCCAGTATTCGCTAGCAAAAGTCGAAAAAGACTCAATTTTTGAAACCAACTAGGTATTTTCCTTAGTGAAAGAGGATTGTACGACATGTCGAAATCTTGCAGCATATGTAGCTTCACAAGCTGAGGCGGAATCGGTCCGAAAAAACGATTCCTCGATAAATCCAACGTCTGCAAATTCTTCAAGTTCCCTAAACTCGGTGGGATTTTACCTGTGAAAAGATTATTAGAGAAGTATATATCATTGAGAGTGATAAGATGCCCTATACTTGCAGGTATTTTCCCACTCAGTCTATTATTTTCGAAAACCAAGCTTCGAATATTCGTAAGTTTGCCTATCGAAGCCGGAATATTCCCTGTCAGCTTATTCTCCGAGAATCGAGCGAATTGCAACGAATTCAGTCCGTCGATCGAAGAAGGTATTTTTCCGATCAAACCGTTGCCATTGAGATAAATCTCCACCACCTTCGATAGGGCGGTTATCGACTCCGGTATTTTGCCGGTTAATTGATTTTCAGAGAGATCGAAGTAAATTAGGTTTTTGAGCTCGCCGATTTTTTTCGGTATGGAACCGGAGAAGCTGTTTCCATGGAGATCGAGGCTTCTGAGCGAAACCGCCTTGATAATCGACGGCGGAATTGCGCCGGAAAAGCGGTTTCCGGAAAATCCGAGCTTTAGGAGTGAAGTGAAATTAGCGAAGAGGTTCTGCGGGACTTCGCCGGAGAGACGGTTGTTGTTGATGTAGAAGCTGACGAGTTGATCCAGGCCGTTGAATTCGACGGGGATTGAACCGCTGAGATCGTTCGAATCGAGGAAGAGATGATTCAGTTTCGATAGTTTGCCTAATTCCGGTGGAATTTGGCCGGTTAGGTATTTGAGGTTGCTGAGATCGAGGATTTGGAGGGAAGAGAGGTTTCCGATGAAGGGGGAGATGGTGCCGGAGAGTGACGTGTCGACTGGTGAATCGTCGGTGGAGAAGAGGCCGGGTCGGGTTAGGTTTGTGACCCGGTTGGAGATCGGGTCGCAGGAAATGCCTTCCCATTGTGTGCAGCAGTCTGTTTGTGGGGTCCATGTTTGAAGGAGGTTTGACGGGTCGGCGGTGATGGATTTCTTCAAGTGGAGTAGGGCTTGTTTGTCTGTGTGGTGACAGCCCTGTGATTTTAGCAGGAGAATTGTATGAAAGAATACTAGGAGGAGAAGTGATTTTCTTGAATGGTTTGCCATTTGAAATATTTTTTATTTTTTATTTTTATTTTTTTGAATTTGAGGTTTGGTTTTTTGAAGAGAATTAAGGTTGGAGATTTGTTTATATATGGTGTCAGAGAGTAGGTTTATGGTTCTTTTTTTGTCATGTGTTGTGTTGTTTGAGGAATAATTTGTTTGCCCCTAACTTCATAAAAATAAAAGAATTTCCATAGATAGAGTATTTGTTTATGCGCGGATGTAAATAAAACGAATCAGATTGTTTTTGAAGCGAAAGCTAATTTCGATTTTGTGTAAAACTAAAATTCAGAAGAAAAAAAATGGAATTTGAAAATTTTAAAAATCTTCCAAAATTGAAAGTTTTCGAATCAAAACACGTGGAATCGGGAATTTTATGGTTTTTTGTTCGCCTTATAATATAGAATACATAACAAATTTGATATTATAAGTGTAGTTTTCATGATTTTGAAATTATTTTCAAGAATAAAAATCGGATCAAATATTAAATATCATATACATTCGAATTATGATATAAATGTAAGAAATTGGCATTAACGATTGGAACAAGTGGTTTATGTCTTTCATAAACTATTATACAAAAATATAGGTTTACACGCTATACTTGTGTGGTTGGCTGATAGTTCTTTCATTAAAATTATAAAAAAAAATGACCTAATTGCAAGAGATATTAGTTACAACTCAAATTATGATAAATAAAAAATTGCCAACCTCGTGAATACTAACTACATTGGAATTAAAATGACAGGAAAAGTCACGGTATCATGTGCACTTATGGGTGGGATCATAACAACTGCATGTTAAAGTATTTAATTACTTAATTAATTAAAAAGTGAATGAATGGATTCATCATTTCCACATTTGGGCAAAAATGTGAATTAAATATTAAATATAGCTTGGATTGGACGTTACTCTATCCCCACTATGATTTCCTTCTTAATGGGCCACGATTACATGCACAATTTGCAACCTTTTTTGTACTAAATAAGACAACAACTTTTAAATAAGACAACTTCTTTCCCACTCTAGAACCTTTAATCGAGTTCGTCACAATTAGTCTAGTGTGGTTTACATTTGTTCTATAGTTTTAACTTATTAAACAAGAGAACAAGAGTATATGTTTACTCAGTGCACTTATTTATATATATATATATATATATATATATATATATATATATATATATTATTTTTTCGGTAATGAAATAATCCGCAGCCAATCATATAAGTGCACTGGGTAAACCTACACTCTCGTGTAATAGCTTGCAAATCATATGAGATATATAAACCACACTGGACTAACAATGTGTGACAAACTCTATCAAGCAATCGTTGGCAAGGGTATTCGAACATGGGTCAATTGACACATTCCAGTGCACTTATATGGTTGATTGTGGATTTCTTCATTGCCAAAAAAAATAATAAATAATAATTAAAATATAAACTTTAATTTCAATTTTATTCGTAAGTTGAAACTCATTCTCAGTGCAACACTTTTTGTCCTACCAGAAAATCTTATATAATATACCTTATTGGACCGGTCCGGTAAATCAATGAATATTTGGATCATCTAAAAGGTTCGATCTTTGATCAACCTATAAGATTATTCATTACTTCCTCCATTCTTAAATATGTGTCGTTTTTCACCTTGACACGAGTCTTTAAGAATTTCAATAAACATGTCTTGATTTTAGGAAACTAGATATAAATAGATCGAAATAACCATGTTTACTAATTAATGCAGAAAGAGTGCTGGAGAGTTAATAAGGGTATAATTGGAAAATATATAATTAATGCAACATTAGAATTGTAAAGTGACAGATAATGTGGAACAATTTTTATTTTAAAAGAAACAAATATTATGGAACAGATGGAGTAATAACTTGATTTGTTAATCAGATCTTATAAATCCATTAGAGTGTACTAAAATACTAATCCTACTTAAAGTCCCACTCTAATAAAAAATTTAGCACACTCTAAATAACTCATTGGGCCCATTTGACAAGGTACGTGTTATTTTTTACACCTATTTACCCAAAATACCCAAACATTGCTAGTATTCGACTATTTTCATCAGCCTAAATCAATTATATAACGGATTTTGAAGATGAAAGTTGAAGCCCAATTCTTGAACACATTGGGAAGGCCCAATTCTCTTCAAGAAGATTATGAATTAAAGCATTTGTTTTTGAACGATAATTTAAAGCGTAAATTACGGTCACTGCTGATATAATATCAAATTATTAAAAAAAACATCTCTTATTTGGATAATTACAATAATTCCCCTCAATAATGAATCTTCTTATATGTATACTGTTATGGTGTCAAATTCAATATAATCTTCTACATTATGTGAATGTTCACTATTTTTGTGCAAAAATGCAGTTTTTTATGCACCACAATCTAATATTTTACAAGCCAAGAGACATGTTGTGTGATCATCTTATTTCATAATGCGGAGCTCAAATGAGGTACAGTGGGTACAAACTGAAGAATATTACATATAATCTAGAAGATTTTACTAAATTTAACACATCAAAATATGGAAGTGTAAGAAAATTCCTTATTGATAGCTGCAATTTTTCCTAAATTAAAATGAGTTATAATGATCAAATAAAATAATTTTTAAGATTCATAAAAAATTGTTTCAATTTTTTTTTTCCTTTTCCAAAAGAATAATTTATTCGCAATAAAAGAAATGTGGTTGGCCCAAAACCTAATTATAACATGTTTGTTTCTTTGGAACATCCCAACCAAAGATTGACTAACTACTACACTAGTGGGGCTGACTCATTACTCAAACGTCAAGTACAGCTTTGTGCCAGCCCAGTTTTTCAAAGTTATCCAAACAGCGCGCAGTGGGACCTCCACCACTATATACGTACATATGTGTGCATCTACGAATACGAACCAACGTACGTACATACATACATACAGTGGCGGAGTCCGAATTTGATAAGATGACGTGTAAATATCCGAAACGCTTTCGAACAATCCGTGTTCTTCAATTCATAAAGTACAGTTATACGTCCATAAATTAATATAGTCGTAACCAGTCAGATTCTATTAACTTAGCTAAATATTAATTTAACGATATAAATTTTAACATGTCGTTTAAACTACCGAATCGTATACTGTTGACATTTAAATTTTGATTAAAAAAAATCACCAATTTATAGCCAAATAAATCGGTTATAAATTTTGTCTCAAATCGAAGTCCATAACATATTTGGATTTTACAAAGTGTTAAAAGAGTTAAATCTAAAAAAAAAGTAATAAATTCTTATTCTTTGATTACCTAATTGGGCTCATATTTAGCACAAATAAATCAAATAACAAGTATCGGTACACCAGCCCACGTTGGGAAATTATTCAATTCAAGAAAAAAAATTCTAAGACCTGAATCAATTTTTAAATAGAAGATAAGAATGAGGGAATTATTTTCCAAGATTGTAATCCACTTCCGTTTAATTAATAAATTGCATTTGTTCCCATTTTTCTCGTGTCTTATAGACTAGAGAAATTTGTGGTTCACATATACAAATCATAATTTTTTGAAATTACATTCATTGTGGGGGGGGGAAAGACAATAAGGACGAAAAATAGACACATATCAGCAAAATAAACAAAAGTGGGACCCACTTTTGGTGCAAGTAGTCCATTTTTCACTGCGCGGTAACTTTTAGAGTGAGAGGGTGCAGTGCACGTGACTATGGTATGATATCACGGGGAGACTCAATCTACCATTGTCCTTACTTTTCTGTCACCTTCTATACAACTTCTTTCACTAAATCCTCACACCCCCACCCCACCCCACCTACCGTTGTCATCATGACGTCATGCTCAATACTATACACTAAGCTAAATTTGATTTTCCTAATGTGGTCCCAATTTCCCTTTTTTTTTCCTTCCAATTATATGTATTGTTTTACGAGTATATTATTAAGATACGTAGGCAGTAAAATGAAATTAAGTATATGCATTGTTATAGTGCATTCAGCAACCAAGATATTTAATGGCAGACACATACAAATGTCCACGACATTTGATTATAGACCGCCTATACCTGAAAACTCTTCGACGTGGATTCTTGCCAAACTCGGACTAACATAATATTTAACATCAAAACTAAAAGCAATGTACATTCATAAATTTAATATAGCTGCAACATTAATTCAAATTTAAGAAACAAAAAAATAATTAGAAAAAATAAAAAGATTATTGTACAAGCATAGCCTAATTAATATAAAAAACAGAAAACACACAAGTCAAGGAATGGTGGGGCCAAAGGCTCTGCACTCCATCAATGACTTTTGTACCCCTCCCCCACAGAAGAACAACCTTACCGGGCACCGGTACAGGCAGTTGTCCCCCAACATTACCGTTACCGTACCCGCTTTCAGCCCCATAAACCGACCCGGTATCGGCCCGAATAGATAGTTCCCACCCAACAACAGCCTCTCCAGCGGAGCTATCTCCTGACCCGGACCCGGTACCACTACCTTTAATACATACTGGACCGGTATCCAACCCGAGAACTTATTGTTCTCCAGAGACAAAGCCGATAACCGGGGCATTAGACCCATGAACCCGGGTAAGAACCCGCGGATCTCGTTGTTACTCAAGTCAACGGATATTAGTTGACTTGTCAAACCCGCGTTACCGGGTATTTGAACCGACCCGAATTGGTTGTACGACAGCGTTAATTGCTCCAACGACGGGTGGGCGAATAGACCCGCCGGAACCGACCCGGCGAGTTTGTTGTGACTCAGGTCTATTACTTGTAGAGAAGATAAACCCAACACACTCGCCGGAATATTCCCTTCTATCTGATTATTCCTCATCGATAAAACAATTAGATACGGCGGCAGAAAGGGCGGAAGCTCGCCGGAAATGGCGTTATCGCTGGCGTCCAGGAAATTGAGGCTACCGAGTCGACTCAGATCGGGAAGCGCGCCGCCGATTTTGTTGCCTTGAAGCTCGAGCCTTTTTAAATTCGCGAGACGGTTGAAGGTGGACGGGATTTCTCCGGTGAGCGTGTTTCCGTCCAAGTAGATCTCCTCGACGGCGGCGAGCGAGCCGAGGGAGGCGGGGATTGAGCCGGAGAATGAGTTGTGGGAGAGGCCGAGCCGCTTGAGCCGGGTGAGCCGAGAGAGGGAGTCGGGTATGGAGCCGAAGAAGTTGTTGTTGGAGAAATCGAGGTTTTGTAGGTAGGGGAGTGACCAGGAGACGGAGGTGAGTGAACCGGAGTAGCCGGCCGAGTCGAGGGCGAGTTCGGTGACTCGGGAGGAATTCAAAACGACGTCGCAGCGGAAGCCGCAGGTGAATTTGGGGGAGAAGAGGTTGTCGCAGGGGTCGAGGGAGAAGTCCCATGAATCAATGCAGGAAGAAGGTGGGATTGAGCTTTGAGTGATTGTACCCTTGAGCTGCTTTAACACTTGTACATCACCCCAATGCGTGGCTGAGTTTGCCAATTGGATTAATATGGAGATTGTTAAGAATGGGATGAGTGAGAAAGTTGCCATTTTAGAGTGTTTCTCTCTCTAGTGTTTGTGTGTGAGAGAGAGAGTGTGTTAGTGTGTCTGAGAGAAAGTAGAGTATGAATGAATGAATGAAGAAGATGATGAGAGACCTTTTTATTAAGCTTACTGTTGGCATTAATTTCAGTCGTACAGTTTTCAATATGATATTAAAATTAATATTTTTATATATATATTTATATACAGAGGATTTAGATAGAAAATAATTATTTGAATTTAGTTTCATATTATTGAGGGTTGATGTAATTAGGAAAAATCAATTCATTTATCAATACTACAAATATTTTGTTGAAATTAGGGCGAAACTGTCACATGGTTACTCTAGTGATATATACGTATCGTGTGCAATTAATTAGTAAGTATTGCAAACAAGTGAATTTGATTCAATACGTTACGAAAGATTGTGAAATTTCGAATAAATGTGTTTAACGATGACCTAGTTGATGGAATAATGAAAGTGAGTTTACCCAGAATCTGCCAACACTTTCCAAGTTGAGCTCGTCGAACAAAATTTGCCGAATTTGGTTTACACATCTGTCTACGAGTTACTGCATGAGAGCGGAATTACCTACTGCACTTTTAAATATAATTTATTTTTTTCTCTAATATTTTTTTAAGAAAAGCATTCCCAACAAAAGTATATAGAAGATAATATTCTCAAATTATATTAATTTTAAAGATTAATCACTCTATTTTTTGTCCTCTAATCATTAATTGAGGATTATGTACTGATCATTCCAAGATACTCTTCTATCTACTCTACAGCAAGATGCAGCTAATAAGCATAACTCACCAACCAAGAACTCTAAACACCATTAAGCTAATCATAATGCTTATATAATTTTTATTATATAAGATAAGCACAAAATATAAAGATGGAATAGAGTTCAAAAGTTCATCATTTTTTTTTTCTTTTTCTAGCTGGATTCCAATTTTTGAAATTTTACAAAATCGGTTTTCTTTTCAAAAGGAATTGAAATTAGTTTTTCTTTTTTCTTTTTTATTTCGAATTAGAAAATGAAATTATAGCGAAGGTGTTAATTTCGATTTGATCAGTCCGATTTGCATCGAGGCATTACGACATGATATGTTCTAACAATCGCAACGTACATATTCCCAAGTGGTATTTAATTATGAATTTGTTTTTCTTTTTTAGGATAACCATGTGGTTTGGTATGTTGGGGGAAGGGGTTGATTAATTTAAATTTAATGGAGATGCAGATAAATCCCAATGATTGAGTGGAATCATTATGTCTTCACTTTATAATTAATTAGTACCTAATTGGTCCAAGATTGCAAGCAATAATTTATAGTGTTCCTTAGTACTTCCGTTACGAAAACTTCTATACAGACGCGTTTCTTAGTACTTGAGCCCGATAAAACTCCAATCACGATCGTTCGGCCCAATGCCGAACTCACCCCAATCAGTGCTATACCCGTTGAAATAAATCGGGTAGCTTTGATTGTAAACCGGGTAGTTATCGATACAAGTGTACGGTGAGATCTAACAAATCAAACCCCAAGTAGTACATCAAGAGCAATATATATTAAAAGGAGAAGCAATATGTGAAATGTAGCTTACATTGCACAAAATGCACTAAAACCTGCTATATCTACTACACATACTCTTGAGGATAAAGCTTACAAATATACAGGCATTAAATTATTTCATTTATATGGCAACAAGGAATTATTTTTTTCTTCTTTTTCCAGCATTGGTATGCTTGTTATTCCTCGTCGGGCGGGCGTCCACTCAGGCTTGCTCGTTATTCCTCGTCGGGCGTCCAATCGGGCTTGCTCGTTTTCCCTTTATTTTCAAGACAAAAAGTCCCTAGGTGATTCCTCACATACCCTTGGTTGATTTCGAACACGAAACTCATTCCCTTTATCTACAAAATTCACCATTTTCAAGAATTATGCTTCGTTAAAAACTCAATGCTAACATGGAAAAATGGAATCAAATTTCACACCATCTCGAAAATTTCTTGCTCGATTATGGAACAAAAACAATTATCTTGAAAATACAGGGTGCAAGAGAAATACCTCGATCAAACAACCGGAACTAAGGTTTAGCAGCTGCCCGGTAGCTACTGCAATGCCGTTCACAGATACTGAACTCTTACCGAGATTTTTCAGAAAGAAAGATCCATCTGTCTCCATCTTTATAATAGCCTAAGCATATACAAATAAAAGATACAACATAAGTAATACATAGCAATATGCTTAATAAAAAAGGGAAATAAAAAACAAAATGGCTACTTAAATTTGCATCGTGTAAAACAGTACGCATACAAGAACTTTAACTGTCCCAGTATTTCGACTATATTCATTAGAACCTACTTTTTATGCTAAGGTGAAGAGTTAATACGAACAAGATTCATTTTCGATATCAAATATTGGGATCTTTGTCGGATACAAATACGCTCATCCAGCCATGCTTTTAGTAAGTTCTGTAAGGATCTTACACCGATCTTGATTTGATAACGGTTCACAACGTTGAAGAATTAAAATTTGCATAATCAAACCTGCCGCCTGGATATTTTATTAGCTCGTCCTTCTTTCCTTAGATCAATATCAACAAAAAAATCATCTGTCGATCTTCCAAGTAAAACCTGCAACAATAAGTTCAATAAGCAACCATCAATAAGGAACTGCTGTTACCTTATCTATTTTCTTTGAACTAAATAGAGATAAAATATTAGAAGTGGCTGTATCTACCTCAGGCTTCCTTATGTAATGCCTCAAATGGCGGCCGTATAATATAGCCAGCGCTCCTTGAGATGTCATGGCCCTCTGCAAGCAGGAAAGAGCACCTTGTTCCAACCTTATGATTGTCCTCTTGGATTCATCATATTGATATCTCGGAACTGAAAAGTAAGGCATTAAATTAACTGAACGAATTAATATCAAACACCAAAACAGCAGAGAAGTATGCAACTCTCTTCAAACTAAGGAAATATCCACTGTCAATTTTTTATACTATGTATATGCACTACTTCTGAATGGATGTGCTTCGAGAAGAAAAAAAATGCGAAACTGACGAGCAATAGCAGACCGAATAACAAGTTTACCAACTGAACACAGTACCAGATAAATTCCCTTGCCTAATAATGTGGGAGTCTTGATCATGTGGATCTAAGTCCATTTCGAGTATCTGCAAAGTAAATATAGCAGGATCAAGAACAGGATTTCTTTTTCTTTTACAAATTAACTGATGAAGCTGTGAAGGAATACCATAGCTTCTATGTCAGAAAAATAAGGCACGTCATCATCAATCTGAGATTCCTCCTGATCTGACACTGAGTCGTTGACAACTGATTCTGGAATCGGGGTTCTTACAGAACCTGCTTCAGTGGATTGTATCTCAGACATTGTTGCAGGGTTGTCTCCAACCTGTTTACAATTAAATGAAATGTATGATGCATGTAGTTATGCGTCACATTCTCAATTTAAAAATATAATAATAGAAAGTTAAAAAATGAACTACCTTGATATCAAGTCCAGAAACTTCTTTCTCGGCCAGGCTATTGCTGCAAGATTTCGGAGTTGCATACAATGATCTGCCTTTACTGGAATCTCCAATGGTTTTGTTGACAAATCCATGGAGTAGGGCCTGAGGTCTGGAATCGTGAATTTCGGTTTTGGCTGCACGACCAACAAGTGAACGTGATTCTGGCAAGCCATGTAGTCCCACTTTCGGAGGCCAAACTAAATCTCTCGTAGAATCTTTTGCTTTTGTTGGAAATGTTATAGCTTCTTCATTATCATTTTCAGCAGATGCATTCATAGACATTCCGGTGTTTGGTTGTGTTGCAGAAGAACCAAATGACGTGGAAGGATGAATAAGCAAGAAGATATCATCATTACATGGAATTTCCGGGTCTTCAGTGTTCAATGTGCACCGGATCTCGCCATCACGAAGTTCAACAGGATCCGAAATTGAAGTTGACTTTGAAGGCACACCAAAGGATGCAGCAACTTCCAACACCACAGGGTTTTCACTAGCAGTGGTGTCCGCACAAGCTTCTAAAACTGTCACAGTCCCAAGTTCAACTTCAGCAATATCATTTTCCTCACTTTCTTTTTTCAAGTCATCGGGAACTGAATCAATATCATTAACACAAGACTTATTATCATCATCATCATCATGTTTTTCTTCTTCATCCACCAATAGAATTCCATCCTCATTTGAGAGGTTTAGAAGTGAATCTGGATCTCCAAATTCACCAGAGTACATTGTTGAGCTAGTTTCTTTACCGTCAACATCATTCAAAATCATATCTTCGGCAACCTGAGCTGTATCTTGCAGGCTCATAGTAGTAACAGGTATTGAAGAAGCTGAAGCATCTACCATTGTTCTCCAATGGTGCAATCGAGGCTGCTCCGATGCAAACACAATTGTCTGAAGAGAAGAAAAGCCATCTGGATCAAGTGGATTATTTCTGTTGTTTCTATTCGCCTCCAAATTATTATTTCCACCCTTTAATGAAGAATTAACATTCTCATCAAAGCCATAGCCTCTCATAATTCCGTTTTGTTGATTGTCTTCGAAGGGATTCGGGCATCCATTCTGTGATACATTATTAGTTGCTGGAAAGGCATGACGCAGAATATCTAAATCTTCTTCCTTAAGTCTCAAATGGTCTTGACCCAATGGATTACCATCATGCATCACTTGGTGCTGAAAACCAAAACCTAGATCACTGTTACTGAAAAATTCACTGCGGATTTTTTTCCTCATGGCGTAGTATTTTCTTCGGATGCTCTCAGATTTCCTCTTCAGTGAAACATCTTTATTTCCTGAGAAGTTGTTCTCGGGTCTATTTAACTTGCACGCAGGGCTGATGCCAGATATCTCAAGTTCGAAGATATGATCAGAAGCTTGGGCTGAAATATCAGGATCGTAGAGAAGAGAGTACCATCTGTCTTGGAGTTCTCGTAAAGTATATCTCCGAGAAAATTGTACTGCACCTTTGGCAAGAGATTCCAATGATGCACCAGCCTGGAAGAAGAGAATGAAACATATCATAGTATGTTCTTAGAACAAAATGTAGAAGACGGAAACATAAATTAAAGGCAACATTTTTTACAAGATGATTTCATATTCCGACTACTTAGCCAGGCAACTCATTGAGCTCCCGAAGCAAGAATTAAAATCTACTAAATAGAGAAGTCGCAGTGTAAGAATTAGATTCTATTAAATAGAGAGGTCCTTTGAGTCTAAGTGATTACAATGCTTTTACTTAATCACCCATGAGAGACTCATGAACTTGTCGTTTGCTTAACGTATATAGTGAAATGTCAGCACGGATTTTCACTCTCCACTGCTTCTCTTTCTTCCTTCTGTTCATGTTTAATAAGTTATACCCCTCCATCAAAAACACTGAATTACTAGCTCGCATAAGTTTATCAATTCAAATCACAAGATGTACGAGTATAGACACACACATTTTCACTCTGTACTATGTTTGTTGATTTTACTCGAAACATATGAAAAATCCAGTATGTGTAAATCCACTTCAACAAGGATAGCAGCAGGTGTAGAAGCTTTGAGCATAAGACAATAAATGCAATGGCATTAACTTGTATTTACATCTCAACATTGTTCAATGTTCCTGGTTGAAGAATCCAAATACTTAATAATTACTATTGTTAATTGTCATTTATCTTTACTCTGAAATAATATAAAAAAACAAATCACTTTATATAGAGCTCTTCTAGTGACTTGGAAAAACACAGCAAAAATTATTTAAACAAAAAATCATTAACCCGGAAAAAAAAATTACTCTAAAAAAAAATTTCCAAGATCACAAATTGTTCAAAGACATGCCCTTGCATCAAGTGTAACATCAGCACTTATAGTTTAGCAATTGCAAGGAAAAATCATGTTATCAAAAACTGTAAATAAAAGTAAGCTTTTGACAGAGAAAATTCCCCGAAAGGTAAAATTTACCTCAACAGAATTCTTCAACAAGAGGTCATCTTCAGGAATCCACTGAATTGACACCGTAGAAGGTCCCGCCATGTACAGAATTAGCTTCTCGCAAACCCTAATTTTTCATACACCTTTCTGCTTCAAATTACAATGCGTAGATGCAAAATTAAGCCCGCCCAAGGCAACAACTTTTCCCAACCTCGATTGATTGTTTCGTTATCGCCGGAAATTGGAGCTGCTCAGCGCATTCCGACAATGGAAGCGGTGGAATTGAGAAAAAAGAAGAATATCCTATCCCCTTGCGGGATAAAGGGGTTTCTGCTTTCACATCAATTCAAAAACCGACACCAAAAAACGAAAAAAAAGGGGGGAGAGAAACATGAATTAGGTCGGAAATCCATAGTGCGTCGATTTACAGACGGAACAAAATCGATGAATTTTCTGATTTTCCTCTTTCTTTCCTCTTCCGTTGCATCAATGGCGGTTGGAACGAATCTAATCTGCTCGGAGAATTCTCAATTGGAACCCTAGCCACCCATTTCTACGAGAATTGACGATTTCAAATGCTTTTTTGGTGCCCAATTGTTTCACTACAGAAAATTTATGGAAGATGTTATGCTGCACTTTTCAGTTAAGATGAAATACTAATTACTCGAACTAGTTCCCTATTATGGATCTTGCTTCTTTGAATAAAAATTTAGGGAAAATGACAGTTTTCACCCCTCATTTTGCATCTATTCAACATTTGGTCCCTAAAAGAACATTTGGTCCCTCACGTTTCAATAATTTAACGATTTTGGTCATTTCCGTCAATTTACAGTTAGTATGTTAGAAATTCGTTGATGAGCACATGCTTCATTCCGTTAATTTTTAATGAAAATTTGACGGAAATGACTAAAAATGTTGAATTTTTGAAACATGAGTGTATAAATGTGTTTTTTCTTATAGGGGACCAAATATAAAAACGATGCAAACTTGAGGGACTAAAACTGTATCTTTCCCTTATATATATAATTATATATATCTATCTATATATATATATAGATAGATATATATAATTATATATATATACACACATAATTTATAAATCTATTTTCTCTATACAATATTGTTATTACAAAGAAAAAAAAAACAATATTTTAAAATAAAGTAAAATATTATTTGATTTATTGCAAAATAAGATTTGATTAAAAGATGTAAATAATTTGATTTTTCTTTTCAATATTTTATAGATATTATTTACTTCCTTGATTTTGATTAATTTGCACCTAAATATCAAGTTAACCATTTTTTTATATATATTACAACCATCTCTCTGAAGTAAATTTTATTTACAAAAACTTAGCTAAAGTCGGTTCTAAAGTAAGAGCAACCACCTCAAACTACGGGCTATAATATTCTTTCTGACTTATGAGCAATCAATTGTTCGAGCAGTGGGCAATTACGTAAAAACAAGTCAATATCTTCATCGCTCACTTGAATGCAGTTAAAGGCCACTACTTTGAAGTATTTGAAGCTGCCGACGGACAAATCTTTAGGGAAACGATAATGATAGATCGTATTATCATCGTGCGGAGGAAAGTCGAACTCCAACCTCTCGACACGTCTAAGAGTGCAAATTCAAGCCATTGATTGATTGCATGCTTGTGGTAAACATTTAGAGGGAAACGAATTACGAATTCTTTCAAGGTGGGCGCTTTGTGTGAGGTTAGGACAAGGTTAACCCACCTCACGAAAGTTCGTCTGTCCCTATCGACAACGGTGAAAACGTTGAAGGGTGCACTAAGGCTGATAATAAAATATATGACAATAACAATTATAATAATAAAAAAAAATTGTATAATTATAATAAAATTTATTAATAATATTTAAATTCGGTATTCATACAAATTTGGTAATAATCCATACACAGGCCCAATAAGGGAGAAGCCCAACCAAATGGAGGCCTATCAAAGGCAAGGGCCAACGAATGGAGGCCCATCGGTGGCGAAGCCCGGGTCCAACAAACTTCACCGAACCGCATGAGCCGGTCGCTCGGTAAAAGACAAGCAAAGGAGATCAAAGAACGGCATCTTGGCATGTGCATTTATTGTCATGACACAAGTAGTTAATGCGGGCATGTCCGTCGACAACCGAAAAATTGGCGGAGGCTACACTTTTGTACATTAGGCATGGTCAAACGGCGCGTCATGTCCTGAGTAGCTGGGCTAATGATAGTTGTCCTGATTGCCGCAAGACGTGCGACGAGTTGACGTATTTCAATCCAGATTATGGAATCACTTGAAGTCCGATAGGGGTAAATATAAATTGGAGCCCCATTCTCTCCCGCAAGAGATATGACATCACCAAAACATACACAACACGTTTTTCGTTCATATACTTACGAATCTTTCGACAGCGCCATCTCGATACCTACTGACTTGATCGTTGGCATGTTAACTCCGGCGTCTGTCCGGGTTTCTTCCTTTTTGCGATTCGCTCATAGCTCGACAAAACACTCCCCATCCGGTCATACCCTCGGGATCGAGCACTGTTCAAGTTATTGGCATTTGGCGGATAGATCAAATGGCGTCGTCTGTGAAAAATAGTAGTTAAGTAAGTCTTCGAGACGTACACATCCAATCGATGAATTTGCCACCTAGCATCGTAAGAGACCTCTCCAATCAAATAGAAGGAGAAAAAAACCTCCGTCTGTTACATTCTAGGTTAAACTGGACATAAATCGACTATGCTATTTACATAGTTGATTTATTAATCGACTATAATAGATTAAAATATTAAATAGTAAATTAGACCTCAAAAACAATGAAACGAGGATAAAATAAATATATTGTTTTATTAAACTTGTTGAATTCCTAATTGGACAGTGGATAAAAGTTGTGTGGATAACTTCAAACAAATTCACAAAATTGAAATCCCCTGCGTTGGTAATGAGTCTCTGTCAAAATCATCAATTCGGGAGTTGGATTTCATTAAATGCTGTATCTACTTATACTTATTTATATATGCCCTAGAAAAATCCAGATTTGCTGATTTCCAGAAATCTGAAGAAAAATATGGAGGGGTTTGGGGGATTGAGCAACAGCATCAACGGTCTGAAACAAGCTTTTCGGAATGGGGAAACGAGAGCCGTCGATTGGCGGAAATCCCAACTTCAAGCCGTTCTGAGATTTCTAGCCGAAAACGAAGATCGAATTTTTGAAGCACTGAAACAAGATCTCAGGAAGCATCCTGTTGAAGCTTACAGAGATGAGGTTTGATTGTGTTTTTTTTTTTGAGATTATTTCATTCAATTTTTTTTTTTTTTGAGTAAAAAATTCAGTTTTGTTTAAATTTTGTTAGTGGTGAGCAGAAATTTGGGTGCTTTAATGGGGGGTACTTTTTGTAATTATACAAGTTGCTGATTTCCTTTGTCCAATTTTGGTTGCTTTTAATGAGGATTTAATCAATTAATCAAGTGATTAGCTAGCATCTACTTAAAAGAAACAGAAGTGTTCATATTCTCGAATAATCTCGATTTTTCCGAAAAACCTCATATTGCAGATTGGAGTGGTGAAGAAATCAGCTGAACACTCTTTACGTCACATCAAGCAATGGATGGCTCCGAAAAAGGTAACCCTTTTTTTTTTATTTTTTTTTATTTCATCGTTTTCCCGGTCATTTCTATGCTTCAGCCGATGAAGGTTACACCGGGTGGATTTTTACCGTTGATCTACACACACCAATGTTGGTGTGTGTGTGTGTTTGTGTGTATATGGATGGTAAAGATCTACCCGATGTAGCATAGTATAAACCTTATTTACCCTATATCGATGATTGGCAAATTTTGAACTCTACACTAATTTTTTTTAGGGGTTTTACAATACTACACTACTCGAAAAACAATAAATCGGCGTATAAAATATTAGGTGATTTAGAAGCGGTCCCGTTTCGTCTCTCTCAATATAAGAGTTGGTACACATATCTCTCTGCTGCTACTTTAAAGATAGGCCACCGATATATTAGGTTTAGGACCTTTAAATAAATATTGTTAGTTTGTATCTAGGGGTGCAAGTTGGAACGGAAATTCCGATTTCCGCCGGTTCCGATCCGAAAAGTTCCGATTTTGGAACAACTTTTTTCATTCCGATTTCCGAAATTCCGATTTCCGATTTTTTCCGATTTTTTTGGATTGGAATTGGAATTATATAAAAAAAAATTGGAATTTCCGATTTCCGATCCGATTATTTCCGAAATTAATTCCGAAAAAATTCCGATTTTTTTCCGAAAAAAACCGATTTTTTTCCAAAAAATACATCTTTGAGTAATATATATATATATATATATATATATATATATATATATATTATTATACTTATTTTACATTATTTAGTTGTATTTATTTTTTATGGGCCATGTCACCTAAAAAAACCCTAGTTTATTTTATGTAAAACCCTAGTTTTACGTTTATTATTTCTTGTGCAAAGCCAAAGAATTTATTTAATTTTTGCTAGAAGTTTTATTGGATATTATGATGTCGTTTATTTTTATTTATTTTTTGAATTGAAATTTAGTAGTTATTTTTATCGACGTGAATGTTATTATTTTTAGCAAATTATGAAATTTTCAGCGAAGTTTCGAAATTTTAATACTTATGTCATTTCCGAAAAATTTCCGAAATTCCGAAATTTCCGGGCCTTTTGGAATTGGAATGAATTTTTAGATTCCGAAAATTTTGGAATTGGAATTGGAATTGATTTTGTACTTCCGAAATTTTTTGGAAATATTCCGAAAAGGCTAATTTCGATCCGATCCTTCCGACTTTCAGCCCTATTTGTATCTATATCTATATATGTAGTCTATGTTATAATTAGAAGTTTGAGAGTTACAGCTGCTTGTTCGTTTTCTAGTGAAACCTGATAACCCCATACATCCAATTTATCTAATTATAGCAATTGACAGTGAATTCTCACCAATCATATTTAAGAAAGGTAGGCTACATCAATTATATATCTAATGAAAAGATTTTATTTGTTCTACAACTAATTTAAATAATGTTTTGAAGGAGATTTATATTTTAACCTTTTTATTGGAAATTAAAGTAAAGCTAAAAATTTTTTTAAAAAAATTTAAAAAGCTAAATGAATGTTTGGATGTGGGGGGGGGTTGGGGAAATAAAAAAGGGGGGGGGGGATGAGGGGGGGTTTTAAATTTTTTTTTTTAAAAATTTTTTCTAAGAAAATTTAATTTTTGGTTTTTTGGCCATTTTTGGGCTTTTTTTAAAAAAAAAAATTTTGGGGGCCCCCCTTTCCCCCCCCCCCCCCCCCCCCCCCCAAAAAAAAAAAAAAGGAAAAAGAAAGAGCTCGATCTGAGCCATTTGTTTCTACAGGGCCAGTTACCGTTACTTCTGTTCCATCAAGAGCG